TGGGACACAGCCATTGTTTCACCAATAGAATCCCTAACACCAGTAGAACCACAACACAGACCGACCCAACAGGTAACAACACATGGAAAAGGAATGAGGAATCAGCAGGAGTGGTTGTGGTAATGGCGTCTGATGTAGGTTAAGGTGTGGTGGTGTGTTTGTCTAAAATAAAGCAAACACAGTCCTTTCCTTTATTTTTTGGCTTTTGATTAAGTGCACAAATTTATCTTCAGGAAATAAGATTTAGGTGTCAAAGAAATAAAGATTCAATATTTGGGTTATAATTTGTTGTATATGATGATAATAATGATAATAATAATAATAGATAGTTTTTTAAATCTTTTGTTTTTGTATTATAATTTAACTTCTTAAATTTTATACAATGAGTTGAGTAGAGCACAGTAGAGTTTACTGGCACTCCTATCAAGAGAAATGTCACTCACAGGTTGATTAACTCATGCAGGCTGTTTAGTGCCAGCAGAAAGTGTTTTGACCATATTAACCAATAAAACCTCATTTAAAAAATAAAATTAAACTTTAAAACTTTTACATTTATATTTATATTTAAGAAAAATACAGTAAACATGCCCCAACCACCATACCACCACTGCTGCTTTTCACAGATGGGACCTGTCAGCATTGTCCTATGACCTGCACAGCTTGCAGTGTGCCCCTCCTTTCTCCTCCAGCCTTCTTAGTCATCCTGTGCCTTCAGCTTGGCTTACAGCTCAACTACCAGTGGAGTTACTGTGGCTCAAGCAGCCCCAGTAGCTTTAATGTTTGATTTCCAGACCAGATTTGACCAATTACTTTTACAGTTTTGTAAAAAAAACCAAAACAAAATAAAGAAGTGTAAAATCTATGGACTCTAAATTGTCTATGGACAAGTTGTCACGGCTGCCGAGGCGAGCCGTGTGGAATAAATGAGGATCCAATCGCAGGCAGTCGTGGAGAAGTGAAAGTGATTTATTGAACACAAAAAGAATGTGGACAAACAGCAAACGGGGCTCGAACTAAACTAGGAAACAACTAAACTACAGAGCACAAACCTGAATGAAAACGAGCAGAGGAGGATGACGATGAACAGCAGGGAGAAGACACGGTGGATACACAGACTGACACTGAGTAATACAGACGAACCGGCAACAGGCAGGAGAAC